AGCATGCATCTTCCTTACAACAAGCTGTTGCAGGATTTCTACTTCGGGAGAAGCCAAGGAAGAGCCCTTGATGAAGGTTTTGAAGTAAGGTTATCGGAGAGGGGACCGCGGGCTTTCTGGTAATAAGGTGTCATTATGGGCAAAGCCACTTCAGATCCACTGATGTTATCGCGGCCGGAAACTGGGCCAGAAGCACTTACATAGAGAAGTAACCTCGTCTTTTACCGTGAATCTGATTAAGCAACGACAAATTAAAAGTGGAAAATTAGTTACGCAGGATGGGTTGGGCTCGATCCCTACGAGTTCAAAATGTCCGGAGGACAGAAGCACAGAGCGGAACCCTGGTTCGCGCCCTCCGGTGCTCATCTCATAGGCGCTCATCTGGACAAATGAGGCCCGGAACCGTCATTTCCTCTAACCTCCTTCCTGCTCACTCCAGCCTGTGACTAGCTCCAAGCTGCAATTCATTTTTCTCTTTCCCATCATAACGTCCTTTCAGAACCTGCTTGTCTGAATGTCAATTCGCATGACAATCCTTGTCTGACCAAATTTCTGTTGTTTGTGTGCAGTTACAGCAGCTCCCACCGAATCAACTGGGCTCTTGGCTGCTGAGCGGGAGGCTGGGGAGCACCACGCAGTGTTCCCAATGGGCCCGGAGGTGCCCTGAGAGCGGCTGCCCATATGGCATCTAATGGGGGCTGCCTCTTTGGACCCACTCTTTGGGGTCCTAGATGTCCCTGGGGGCGGGACTTCCTGGGGGCTGGTGGGTGAGGCGGCCTGCTCACCCAGGACTGACCAGACAAAGCTCAGAGTCCGGCTCAGCATGGAGTGGCCGGGGCCCCTGAGGGTGACCACCTCCGGCAGAGCTGTTTCCATGGGCACTCAGACCTGTGCTCCTTTAGGACAACAGCCAGGGACGAGTCTGCATAATGAGGGGCCCCGAGCCCCAGGTGCTGCGGGTGGGGAGGACACGCTGCAGCTGCCGGGACAGGGAGGGGAGGCAGGCTCCTGGAGGAGGATGGACAGAACACCATCAGGCCCTCCCCTCTCCCCTCGGCTCTCAGCTCCCGAGCCTCGGCCAGTCTGGGACGGGGAGGGGGAGACAAGGCCTCAGACAGCAGAGCACACAGAACTTAAAAAGGGGGCGCTTTCTTCCCGGACTTCACTTTTGTCTGCGGCGGGAGGAGATGCTGTCATTGCGGAGTCCTCTCATCACGAACGCCAGGCTGGGCAAGAAAAGCATAACCAGGAGAGCAGTGTCTGCCGTCGTGGCGCTGCTGCCAACACGTGACTCTCTGTCTTTGTGTGAATCTGTCACTGGCACAGGCAGCTCCTGCCCTCCGCGAGTGACAGCGCCACCGGCACCTGGACTGGCACAAACGCTGAAATAAAGAGGGAACCTGTTTGGGGCCCGTTAGTGCCTGGCCTTGGCAGTTAAACACCGAGGTTTCACAGGCGGAAATGCTCACCGGGCCCGGGGCAGTGAGCCCCCCTCATGTTCCCCTTCTTACTGTTTCCACACGCTGGCTGCTGACAGCACACGAGGAAAAGCTGACACAAGCCTTTGGCCAATAAAACAAAAACAAAACCCACTTCGGCTTATTTACGTTTCGCTTTGTTGGTGAACTGGAGGGCTGGCCTGGCAGGAGACCCAGGGCATGGACACACGGTCAATCCCGCCACGCGGGCTGCCTCGGTGCCCGCGGTGTGAGGGCCACCAGGCCCCGGAGCCCCAAGCGACATCACGCCCCAACGGTTTCTCCTGCACCGCAGACTGCCCTGGAGGACCAGCCAGGACCCGCACAGCACAGTGCGATGGGCACTTGGTTAAAAGGGAAAAGGGTTACCATCATGTATTTCAGAACCAACGGCATCGGGTTTGGACTTGCTTGGTTTACATGTGTTTGTATCTACGTGCACATTACCAACCAGAAAGAGAGTCATTCATTTCTTTCTCTAAATGTAAATACACTGGCATAAAGGAGGGAGAGATGAAGACAATAAGTGAAAAGAGGAAAGCGGGTAACGGCCGGGGGGGAGGGTGTCCTCAGATGCTTGTTTACACTAAACACCAGGGCTGTGGCCCTCCTCTGACTACAGAGCATGGTGCGGAGCCCAGCCATGTGCAGACAAAGGAGACATCCACAGCGGCCTCCATCCTGCCCTGCAAGGCAGGAAGGAAAGCCCCGCTGAGCGAGGGACGTGCCAGGCGCCGGTGCCAGTGTGTCACAGCGTGTTCCCATGGCACTCGGTGTGCGAGGCAGCACGATCGGAGGGCACATTTGAGCGGGTGGAGGGACGGTTTAACGGCAAGAAACAGACGCAGCCGTTTGGGACGCTGTCCTGGCTGTGTTTATCTCGCCTGGGATCCTTCTCATTAGCTGTCAATCTCATTACCGGGGCAGAGATGGCGGAAAACGATGCTTTCTCAGCAAGCCCTGGGAAAGCAGCACGAGGAAGAACCCCCGCAACATCCTGGCTGTCCCTCGCCCAGCTATCAGCCACACAACAGCTGCCATCCTAACAATGACTGCATGGCGACAGGACTGAGAGCCAATCTGTGGCACACGGAGAGGCAGCGGCACGCTATGGTGGGAGGTAATGGAGAGAAGCGAGGTCAGAAAACACGAGTTAGGTCTGGGAAGGAGAGGAAGGAGGGGGAGGAAAGAAGCAAAGGCTGCACACAGGGAAACGGAGGGAAATTCCAGACAGATGTTCCTGAGGCAGCATGTGCACATCTGGCCTGGTGCCTGCTCTCTGACCTTCTGTTTTTTAAATATATTTTTATTGATTTCAGAGACGAAGGGAGAGGGAGAGAGAAATAGGAACCTCAGTGATGAGAGAGAGGCATCGATTGGCTGCCTCCTGCACCCCACCCCCCACAGGGGATCGAGCGGGAAACCTGGGCATGTGCCCTGACCAGAATCAAACCCGGGACCCTTCAGTCCCCAGGCTGATGCTCTAGCCACTGAGCCAGTGGACGGCAAACTCATTAGTCAACAGAGCCAAATATCAACAGTATAATGATTGACATTTCTTTTGAGAGCCAAATTTTTAAAACTTAAACTTCTTCTAATGCCACTTCTTCAAAACAGACTCGCCCAGGCCATGGGAGAGCCACACTTAAGGGGCCAAAGAGCTGCATGTGGCTCAGGAGCCGCAGTTTGCCAACCATGGCACTAAGCCAAACCAGCCAGGGCCTCCCTGACACTTGGGAACAAATGACAGTGTAGGCTCTGGGCAGTTAGATTCCTGACACAAGTTTAAAATACAAACTGTACACTTCAAACATATCCAAGGAGGCCGGATGCTCTCTGTTGAAAACTCGCTTTTCCACGAAGTTAGCGGGAGAAGGAGCTCGGTGGGTGCTGCCTGCGATGAGCAGCAGCTTCGCCTCACCGACCAGCCTGTACCTGCACGCCGCACACCGCCGCCGCTCCCCGCTGAGCCACCCCTCCACATGAAGCAGCACACGGCCCAGAGTTCTCCTGGCGGGGAGCGTTCTGCAGCGCATCAAAACCCAAACAGGGAAAGTTTCCCATCTGGAATGATAAACCTACGGATAAAGACTATCAGACAGTGAACTACCCATGTCAGGGATTTTAAGTGAAAACTGTAATGTCTTTACACCTCAGAAATGTCTTCATTTAGGGTTAGGAAAAGTCCTTTACCCAATTCAAAAAGGAGAAGCGAGTTTCTGTTTTGACAAATACCGTATTTTACATAGAACTTTCCAATGTTTAGGTAAGCGATTCCTCAAAAACCATCTCAATACCAAAATTCTGAGAGAGAATTCTGAGAGAGCAATCAGAATATGTAACATATGTGTATATATATGTTCATACACACATAAAACATCCCATAATAAAGATTAAAAAAAAAAAAAAGGGTACCCTTGGCTGGGTGGCTCAATTGGTTGGAGGGTCATCCTGTAAGGTTGACGTCAACCATCATAAGGCTGCTCATTCCATTCTGGTCAGGGTACGTATAGAAAGCAACCGATTGATTTTTCTTTTTCACCTTGATCTCTCTCTCTCTCTTCCCTTTACCCCCTCTCTAAAATCAATAAAATATATTCTCAGGTGAGGATTAAAAAATAATTGTTCATAAAAAAGGTATAAAATGGTAAAAAGGGGTAAAAACTACCAGCCATACTTTTAAGATAATAAACTGTCAGAGAATTTATCAGCAGTCCAATACCAATTCTGGTAGGTTAGTAAAAAGTGCTTTCTGGCAGCCGTCTGCATCATGTCACCAGCATTTACACAGAAAAAACGGCATTTACTTTGCTGATAAAGGAAAGCTTACTGCTTGGTGGATCTGAATGAATGAAGTTCAATCGAAGAAAGAAGGATGAGGATGAGGCAAATGACAAACAAATAAATAATCCCGAGCACACAATACAGGAAGCAGAAGATAGATAACTAGTAAGACCACTGAAATAGCTGAACCAGGAGTTAGTTCACTGGAACACAAACGTCTGGTCTAACGCCAAAGTTAGAAGGTGATGTTTGTGTCAGTAACAAGGCGTTCAGTGAATGCTGGCAAATTATGACACTGGTAAGTATAAACACTAAATCTATTTTAGAAAATAACTGCCACAGTATAAGTTAAAGAGAGCCCTATAAACTAAGGCCAATACTCATCAATAATCTCACCCTTAGTGGCACTTATCAACAGAGATCTTATTTAACAGAATCATTACTAAACATATGCTAAGAGAAAATAAGCAATTTCCGGGCATAGTGTAGGCCAATGTGTGAACGGAAGCTATCGGTGTGATTGGTGATTTTATTAAGCGGGTGTTGTATTCATTAGCTGAATACCTTCAGGAACTGGGATTCTCCAACGCTTTGTGATAATTCACAAAGTCACGCTCCTCACACGTGGTCCCATCACTGGCTTTTTAAACAGCAACAGAACAAAACAAAGCCCACAGGGGACGGGGTGCACTCTGCTCTTTCCTTCGGAGTAAAGCAGGAGGGTTTCGGAGGGAATACCTGGAATACTTGCAGGAGAGATGGGGCCTGACCGTGACTGGCTGCTTCCTACAGGCGAGCCCACCGGAGACGGCGACGGGCCCCCGGGAATGCCGGAGAGGCGGGGGGATGCGTGCGGGGAGAAAGGCGACGGGGCCGGGTTGCTCTGGTCCCCTTGGCTGCTCGTTGAGCCCGAAGCACTGACCGCGGAGCTCAGCGTGGCTTCCGTTCCCGTGGGGAGGTCGTCGATGGAGCCCGACAGGTCCTGCAGAAGGAAGACACAGCACGGATTTATGGAGGAACCTGTTCGGACCACCTCCTGGCAAAACCATTTGGAAACCCAAACCACACCCTCAGCAATGAGCTTCCCAGGTAACACCCCAAATCCGGAGCATGGCCACTTGTTGCTAGGAAACTTGACTCTCGTAAGTTGAACCCTAAGACCTGATCTATCCTAGGAAGTGAGTACAGTTGTACTCCATAAAACCATCCTACAAGTGCTGCTTTAAGCTGTCAGCTGGGCCAAACATTTTTAAATGACTCAAAAGAAAAAATCAAGAGTGCTATTTGGTGACATACGAGAAGTATCAGAAATTCCGATGTCTGTCCATCCGTGTCAGGGCGCACGGCCATGCCTGTGCCTGTGGCTGCTCTCCGGCCACAGGGCGAGCAGTGACACAGCACGGCCTGCAAGCGGTGTCTCCTCCGTCCGGCCCGTGTGGGTCCAGGCAGAGCCGGGTTCCAGCACAGCGCTCTGCGGGCCTCGCCTCAGGGAGGAGGGTGATTCCAGCCTGGCGTGCAGTGACCAGGGCCAGAGCATCCCCAAGATGGGACTGACTCCACCCCGTCTCCCTGGTGGCACGGTGGGCCAGAGGGAGTCTCTCCGAAGGCATCACCAGCCAGGGGCCCACGCAGAGATGCGCCTCCAGTGCCCAGTGCGCACCAGTGAGGAACGAAGGTTCAATCAGTCAAAGGCATCAGAGAGGAAATACGCTTTCTGTGCTCTTTTAGAGGAAAAGAATGGGTCCATAACTGGATATAAAACCATTCTCTTTTAGTACACTACATATGGAATTAAATAGAAAAGAATTAACTTTAAAAAAATCATTAGATTCAATTAAAAATACTGAAGTAATTTATGCAAATCTTCCTTCATAAACACACACACACACACCAATTGTTACTTTGAACTTTTTAAAATTCTCTGCACGAACTATACATTCCTTCTTGTCCTCCCTTACAACCCCGAGTTGTGGCTGAGAAAGCAGCTTGGGTGGCGCTGAGAGCGCCACTGAGGCACAGAGGCACCGCTGCTGCTCACCAGGCCGAGAGGAATTCCGGGGGAGCATAAAAGCGGGCTTCTCAGCGCTCCGTGTCCTCAGGATTTCAGAGCTCACTAGACTCCGCGCAACAGAGGAGCAGTAAAGAGAGAGAATCTATATTACCGTTACACACCGAGTAACTTTTCCATGTAAATTATGGAGAAGCGCTCCCGCCCTGCAGACATCAGGGTTTCCATATGTATGTGTAGCTGTCTTACGACACGTGAATAAAAGAAGTTCAACAACGGTTCAGACTTCCAGCCTCGTTCACAAAGAAGCTGTGTGACTAACACTCCTCCGGAGGACAATCAAGTCAGCAGGGCACCGCTCCATCCCTCCTTCGTGAGGACCAGCAGACCTGCGAGGCCTGCACCCAACAGCACAGACCCACCACCTGCACCTGACCAGGGCACCTTCAAGCCACACTGCTCCCATTTATCCTGCGGGGCAGCTGGCAGGTCAGGTGACTGCAGGGAGGACTCTTCCGGGGGCTGGAGCCCAGACCCTCGCATTCCTTACATCCTTCCTCTTCACAAGGAGTGATGGGGAAGCCCAGACTTCCTGGGCCCATGCACAGTCAATTCAGTATTTGGCCATGACAATTTAATTCAGCAAAATTGGGTTTTTAATATCTGAAATCACTCGGAATACAAATGCCTTTCACCACACCAAAAATGGTACAATTCCTACCACAAATGGTTCATTTATTTTTTAGAAAATCTGTGCCTTAAAAAAAGATTGTTTTACTTTAAAATTTAATTTAAATGAAAGTTTTCTGCAAAGTCTTTTCTCTGTAACCATCATCCCTCCACCCTGCCCATGTAAAATGTCATTCTAACCCAAGTGCCAAGTACAAGAGATCTCACTGTGCTTAGAATGAAATGCCCCTGGGAGCAATAGCAATCCTACCAGATTCCGACCAGGGAAACACCTATGAATTAACAGAGCACAAACACGTATGTTCCTGATTCAATGCGGTGGGGCAGGGCGTGGACGGCAGGACACAGGAATGTAAATGGGCACATGCCACCACGAAGAATTTTTAAAGATCTTCCTATAAGTAAAATAGACATACAATATTAAGTATATAGATTGTATATGCTCATCCCTAAAAATTAACATTTATACATTACCACTTACTACCTTGAAAGACATCTTTGGTTTTGATGTTATTTGATTTAGCTAATAAGTTAGTTTATTCAAGTATAAAATCAGTCGCTGCTGGGAATGCCTGACTATCCTAAAGAGCTGGGAATAAGTTAGGAAATTCCACTCCCTTGCTTAATTAAATGAGTGGGCTTTTAAAAAAGCACATCGACTTCAAACACTCCGCACTGTGGCATCATCTGGGAGAGCACTGCCATGCTGCGCACACGTGGCATCTGCTCAGAGGGACCCGGGAGAGCGGCGGGTAAACACTGCATTAGGAGCCGGGATATTTCAATCAATGGGACCACGCAGGTCTCTTGGTAAGGGTTTTAATAGGATGCAGTTAATGGTTTCTCTGGTGACTTCCCCTGGGGCCGAGGCCCACGTTAAAACGCCAGCCCAATGGTCTTTAGAGAAGTCTCTCATTCATTTTCAGAAGCAGAAATGGTATCTCTTCTCCTTCTTAGAATACTAAGTATGACATCTAGGCACGTTTTTAATATCTGAAATCACTCGGAATACAAATGCCTTTGTAGGAAACATCTAGTTTCCTTTTTCTCTCTCCAACTAGACCCACCTTTCTGAAAGGCGGTGACTGTGGGAGGTGTGGTGCTGAAGAGGACAGAGCTGACTGTCATTGCTGAATGTCACACTTTATAGAAACTACAGCTGCAAACACTACACCAGTAAGCCAGCACGTGTAAACATTTCTAAATATTTACCACAAATGCTCTACTGAAAACTACTGACTTTGCTATTAAAATTTAGCAATGAATTCTCAGCCCTCTGTTTCCAATTACCATCCCGGAGGCCAAGCATCCAGTCTTATTAGATACTCAGTTCTCTAGAAACACACTATAAAACCACTTCATACCCCCAACCTTATTTCAGAGCTATCATTTGCACATGAGACACAAATACACCCTGAAATCGATATCAGAACTGAGCCAACAATTTGACTGACACGTATACACAAAAGGAAAAAAATTCAGGATGACTGCTTAACTTGCATGATGCCTACAGGCTTCTTTCGGCACACACCTCTGTGTGATAAATAGTGTATTTCAAAACACACCCAGAAGTCCCTGCTGCTCTCACTGGTCTAGACAGCAAATGACTTAAAAGCTTTGACTTCCTGTCTCAATGAACTAAAAAATTGCAAAGGCACAGAAAAACAGAATTTACGAGGAAAATCTTTTGAAACACCAATTTTTAGACTTAAACATCTTTCCAAGATGCTTTATATATATCCTACTTTCTATTCAAACATGTGCAAACAAATACAATATTTAACTCTTTGTCACATTTGACAATATGTGCAAGGCATAGCCTTAAGATGTATGAGGTTAAGTGGAAAAAGAATGTTTGATGTTAATTTAAAACAGTGATAAGCAAACAATAAAATAAAAGCAGTCATAAGCTCCATAAAAATATTCATAAGCTCCACAAATGACAATCTCATATCCAAAGCCAGGGCTAACACAAGGACAATTACTGAGTAGATATTCCCTGGAAGAGAGGTAGTCAGGAACCACTATTTGGGGAAATGCTCCCACCTGATTCACTCCCATTCTTTCTCAGGCAAACAGTCCAGTCTGGGAACTCATTTTAGGAGGGCATTTCTAGGCTGACCAGCTAAAGTGATACTTCACAGAAAAAGGATTCAGAGTGAAGCTTACTCTCCTAAGCAAAAATGGCTATACTTCCTTTGATTTTTAAAAACCAGCACCTGAAATTAAAAGCTAGCTTCCAAGGTCCCTGGTTAAACCTCCCCGTTGGAAATGTGCTGCCTTCTAAACTTAGCCTGGTAAACAACGTGAGTATGAAATATGCATCAATGTTTTTCCACTGGCGGGCCTCAGGGGGACCCTAAATTATTCTGCTCTGAACTCTGCCCGGGGTTCTCCGCTCGCCCGCTATTAGCTGTCTGGCTGTTGTAGGCTCGGAGAACCACACAGACCCTTTCACACAGTCCGCAGTCTTGAATTAAACACACTTTGGTCAGAACATGTATTTATAGTTTTCTCTTGGTTGTATGGAATTTGGGGCTAAGGTTCACCGGGAAATCACATGCCCTCTGGCCACACGCTGGGCCCACCCCATAATGGCCATGACGACGAGCATGGTCAGGACGGTTTTAGGCAACGACTGTGCCACATGGTGTTAGCGTAAGGTGGCCAAACATCCCACTTTTGGCGGGACAGTCCCGATTTTTAACAATTTGTCCCATATCCCGCAGCATTTTAAAAAAGTCCAAAAGATTTAAAAGAATCTTTCCAAAAATTGGGACTTTTTAAAACGCCGCAGGACAAATTGTTAAAAATTGGGACTGTCCCGCCAAAAGTGGGCCCTCTGATCACCTTAATTAATACGAATCGCAGGCCGCTGGTGAAATGGCAGCTCTAATGGGATGGGGGGACCTCAGGCAGGCGCCTGGCTAAGGCTGCAGGTGGAGATGGTGCTTGGGTAGGACGAGTGGGAAACGGTAGAGGGCAGCTTTTACACGGAGACTGCATTTATATAGCCTGTGATCCTGAACACTAAAATGTCCTCCTCTCAGTCTCCATGAAGAGACACAGCCAGCCAAACAGCAGGGAGTGCGTCGGGGATGCTGTGGACACGGAGAGTGTGTCTTCGCCAGCCCCACTGGCCCAGCGCTGCCACCGGACAGCCCAGTCCGGGAGCGGGAGGTGCCCGCTGGACAGGGGTGGGCAGAGGGAACCCCGAGCAGAGGGCAGTGAGGTGGCCGGAGGGCGCGGCGGCGGCAGGCCCCCGCATGCCGAGGGCAGGAGCA